TCAACAACAGTCGCTAACTCTTTCTCATGCTGCAAAGCAAACTCCCTGGTTCCGGGCGGTAGTCTGTGAATCTGATCCCGGTTCAGTCCTTCGAACGGTCTGCGTGGTCTAMAGDACTTGTGYARYTYATTGGGAGTGYGGCAGGTGGATAGATGCACGCTGTTGTTGTATGCACTAGCTACTTTAGGCAACATCTCATCCCAGTTAATCTGATCTGGTCTAATGTACATGCGCAGAACTTGCTGTAGGATCTTGTTCATCTGTTCTGTCTGACCGTTAGTCTCTGGGTGACGGCCAGATGACATTAACAACTTAGATCCGTAAACTCTCATGAGTTCTTGCCAGTTCTGGCTGGTGAAGCGACTATCTCTATCACTAACAATTGACAATGGGATTCCATTCTCACTAACCCAAAAGTCAAAAAACTTCTGTATTTCTAAATATGTACGTGCCTCTACAGGCAAGGGAACAAAAACTGCATACTTACTAAAACGGTCGACTATGACCATGACTTGGCTCTTACCATGTCTACTCTTGACTTGCGTGTCCATGAAGTCTATAGACACCGAGTCTCCCGGCTGATCCGGAATAGGCAAGGGCCTGAGAAGACCTAAGGGCGCGCGTGTAGTATACTTATTTCTCTGGCACACTTTACAACTGCGGACATACTCTATGCAGTCATTCTTCATCCCTGGCCAGGTATACGCACGCACCAGGTTGGCTAATGTCTTTTGCCAACCGAAATGCCCTTCAATATCGTGGCATTCCCCTAAAACCAAACTGCGGATCTCTTCGCAGTTGGGAACGCACAGGCGGTCAAACACATTAGTCTTCTCGAACAACAACCCGTCTGTAGTGCGGTAATCTGGTTCGGTCTCTGGGGTCTCTCTAACTCTCTTTAGGAGGTCGTTATAGATAGGGTCCTGCGTATACGCTTGTTTCACTTTCTCTTGCAGGTCTCTCCCTATATCCAGATAATGTACTACGGCTCCAAAGTAGTCTGATCTCCTACTTAGAGCATCCGCCACTACATTGTACTTGCCCTTCACTGGCTTGAGCTCAAAGTCGAATTGGTCTATCTCTGCGGCCCACCTAGTCAACTTAGGTGTCATCTTGGCCTGGGTCTTTAGCCAAGGAAGTGTCTCATGGTCATAATATACTTTGAAGTGCCTCCCAAGCAGGTAGTGTTTCCAATGGTCTAAAGCCTGCCTGAGAGCGTAGAGTTCTCTCTCGTACGTGGAGGTAGCGACCTTCTCACAGGGCATCCTCGCTGACATGAACTCTACGGTTCTATAGCCATTGCTGTCGTCTTGCTGCAACACGGCGCCTATCCCATACTGACTCGCATCCGTGGTGACGACAAATGGCAAAGACGGATCTGCAACTTTGAGGACAGGATATTCTATTAACGCGCGCTTTAGCTTCTTGAGCGCAGACGTACAGTCTTTGTCCCATTGCCAGATTGCCTCTTTCTTCAGCAACCTGCGCAAGGGAGCGGCGATAATAGAGAAGTTCCTTACGAACTTCCTATAGTAGTTAGCTAAGCCTAGGAACGACCGCAACTCTGTCAATGCGCGGGGCGTCGGCCAATCTCTGATCGCCGCGATCTTGCTGTCCTCTGGCTTAATGCCATCTCCGTCCAACACGTGGCCCAAGTATAAGACTTGCGTCTCGGCCCACTCGCACTTCTTCGCGTTGATCTTGAAGTTAGCCTCTCTAAGCTTCTCCAAGACCTGCCTCAGATGACCCTGTGCTCCTGGAGGGTCTTACTAAAGACTAGGATATCATCTAAGTAGACTACTACAAATTTATCTAACCATGGTCTAAACAGGTCATTCATACAATGCTGAAAAGTAGCTGGCGCGTTGGTTAGTCCAAAGGGCATCACTATGAACTCATAATGCCCGTATCTCGTCCGGAACGTAGTCTTGTACTGGTCATCAGGATGGACCTCTATCTGATGATACCCGGATTTCAAGTCTATCTTAGAAAAATACTTGCAACCCTGCACCCGATCTAAAAGATCGTCTATCCTGGGCAGCGGCTCATCATTCTTTACGGTGATCGCATTTAATCCCCTATAGTCTATACACATTCTCAGCTCTCCTTCCTTCTTGGGGACAATCAAAACGGGTGCTCCAAAAGGAGACGAACTGGGCCTGATCCAACCTTTCTCAAGGAACTCGTCTAATTGTTTGCGAATCTCCTCTAACTCTCTCGGGGACATCCTGTAGACTGCACCCTTAGGAGTTCTACTACCAGGCTCTATCTCTATCCTGTGCTGGATGGGTCGCGACACTACTCTCGGCGACTCTGTCAAGTCTTTGAATTCTTCCAGCAACTTGGCGATTGTTGGATCTGTGGAACTATCCTTTTCCTGGGCCTCAGTGACAGGTCTAACATAAACTACAAAGACCTGTTCCTCTAACTGCTCATTTTTGACTAATCGGGCGAACGCGGGAGCACTGAGACAGCAATGTGCCAAGGTATTGTCTACACCAGACACATGGAACAAGCGGGCAGTCTTAGCCTCGCCTGACGGACTAGGGGGCCTACACTCATGCTCTCTCAACTGGAGTGTGGCCCCTGCTGCCTCTCCCCAATCCATTCCTAAAACTACATCAAAAGGAAGGTCATCCTGCACGAGGAGAGTGAAAGAATGGAGGACCTTCTCCACTTTTCCATTCTGCTCTAGGCAAAAGTATGCCTGGACTCCCTCTACGTAGTCCTCAACTCGCATCGTGCGGTTATCTGCGAGAACACTGACTATAGGGTCTATTAACTTCTGGACCTTTAGTCCTAGCCTCAACTTCTTCAGCGCCCTACGGCTAACATAACTACGGGTAGCCCCTGAGTCTATGAGGGCCCCTACTCTACTCCTAAACACCTCTACATCTACTAAGATCAGCTGTGTCCCTTACTCTCTTTTTTCATTTTGGCCCAGACTGGCATCCTCTCCTTTAACTCTTTTGCCACACCTGTGAGGGACGTGCCTAAAGAGACGCTAACACAAGCAGTCTCTTATCAGCTATCTAGGCACGGGCCTGCAACCTCTGCCATAGGCTCATGTGGGTTGGGAGTGTCCTGTTCGCGCGCGCTCACTTCTCCACATGGCCTTGAAGTAGGGGCAGTTGCGACCCCTACTGGCGGCTGCCTTTTGACTGTTGGGCAGCCCAACGGGCCTGTCTATACTTAGGACAAAATTTAATTACGTGCGCCGAGTCACCACAAAATACGCACTGACCCATGTTCACGCGTTCCTGCCATAATTGTCGGTCCAAGCCCAAGTCTTCCCAGGGCCTGCCCTGCGGCAAGCCTGGATGCCATCCTCCTTGAGGTGCCCTTCCACCTCCTCGTTGTGGGGACCGGTTACCCTGGCGATTTAACGGGGGACCTTGACCCCTACCTCCCGCTTGACGGTTTCCCTGTCCGCCAACCCCCTGTGCGCCCGGTCCTCGGCCTCCCATGGCCTGGCCCCTTT